TAAGATTAACATAGTTTAATTATAAAGCTACGGAAACCAATGTCTTCGATGCGAGTGTACGGTCCCGCCGAGCTCTTCCCACGAACATCCTGGAAACATTTAATCCACAACTATAAGCATAAAGTTTAGTGAGTTCCTCAACATACCATATATTTGAATATACATACAATGCATACAAGCAAAGTCCTCGACTCTAGCCTTGATCTACCAACTCTCCTATCAACATACATATAATAATTATTCATATCATCCCCCGACACTCTGCTTCCATACAATTATTGGCTCTCAGTCGTCAACCTCTATCGACTCTCAATCACCATGCAATCATCGACTCATATTCGTACTATATTTATCGGGGCCCATGCTAATACTAAAGACTGCCTTGTGAATACATATACATATATAGATGGGAATAAGATAGACAATCGAACAAATGATCCCACCTGAGAACCATAAAACAAACAAGAACCATGCAATATGATTTCAAACTAAGAGTTCTCAGGTTATCTAATCCAAGGTACATATAACCCCTAGGGAAACCCCTCAAAAATCAACCTATACTATAATTACCCTAGCCAAACATGCCACCAAATAGTAACATACAATCCACAAGTAAGACCCTAGTGATATAGCATACCATTACACAAAGTGTCCTATACTACACATACATAACAAGGAGTTATCCTAGTCAACTACCATATGTGTAGTCTAACAACACTTGTATCCTGCAATACAAAGGATATATAATGTTATATGTGTTATTGTGAAGAAACTCACTTGAATCGCAAAACCGGAGAAGCACTCCTACACTCTCAACTCCTTGCATCGATCAGACCCACGAATCGACTCAAATAACTCAGAAATCCCAAGTAGATTATGGATCTATGCTAGCTCTTTGCCTCCTTGCACCAAGAGGGGGTTCCTTCTTCCTCAAGCTTCACAAAAACAAGAGAACAAGCTCAACATCAAACATGGAGCCTAGGGTTCTAAATTGGGAGGATGGGGGCTAAAGAAAATGACCTAAACCTGGAGTTAATTCCTTTCAAAACGGAAGAAACCCTAAACTTCATGGGCTTGGGCTGCAGCGTCCCATGTGTCGTGGTGACTACCTTTTTCACGTTGTGGTCACCAATCAGACGCGTCCCTCTTTTAAGTGATGTGGCCACATCGCGGTCAACAACCCACAGGTTTGTGGCATAAATATTTCCCAAAACCTTATCTTCGAAACCCTCGGGTCTTTAATTGATCAAATCGAAAAAATGGGTGTTACAATATATATATATATATATATATATATATATATATATATATATATATATATATATATTTGCATGAGAACCTAAGAGCTCCCAATCTGGTATCCATTTCTTGAAATCAACACCCATATTGGACTCCTGAAGTTGGTCTAAGCCAGAGTTGGGCTCAAAAAAAGATTTAACAAACTTTTTGTTAAATGTACATATATGCACATCTAAATATTCATATAGGCATATTCTGTTTATTTTTCAAAATTTTTCAAATCAATACAACCATAGGACACTAAGGCCTATGTTTAAAAGAATCACAACTTGAAAACTTCAAAAGAGAAAATGAAAATTATGAATGTGTATATATGTATATTTGGTGAATATTGATATGTACAAGTATGCACATTTAACAAAAAAATCGTCAAATCTTTTTTTATCCCATATCTGGTGCGGAGGTCGCTTTTGGAGTCCAATGGTGGTGTGGGTTTCCAAAAATGTTAGCCGAATTAGGGGTACGATAACTTTCTTATATATATATATATATATATATATATATATATATATATATATATATATATATATATATATATATATATATATATATATATATATTGGACGACTCACTTTAGATTCAGAAAAAATAGAGATCTTGAGATTCAACCTCAGCTACATATTTATGATTTGTCGTTGTAGCGCTCCAACATACCGGCAATAACAATGTATGCCTAATCATAAATGATTATATGGCAGAGAGGTATAGTCATATATGATTATACATGTTTATACATATATTCCTAATCATAAAAGATTATAAATATATCTATGTTCTTATATTGAGTAATCATATATGATTATGATGGTTGATGCCAGAGGTGTTAGTAGTATAGGCGACTGAGTTGGCAACGTTGGGGTCGGTTGGTGGCAGAGGTGGTGGTAGTGGCGGCGGTGGTGGTGTTGGCGGTTATAGTGGTGGGGAAGGTGGATGTAGAAAAAAGAATGGACAATGCTGAATAATCACATATGGTTATAACTATATCGTCGTGTCGGTTCGTCGGAGCGCTAGAGCGGCAAATGATAAATATGTGGATGATGTTAAATCGTAAGATCTCTATTTTTTTGGAATCTCTACGGAACCTATATATATATATATATATATATATATATATATATATATATATATATATATATATATATATATATATATATATATATAAGTTCAACAAGGAACCATTTTAAATCTTAAACCAAAGAACCATTATATTTTCAAGTTTTAGAGCATATTCTTTATCGGAAAAAAAAAATCTAAAAATATTGAATTCATAACATTTTATCCTCTTTCCATGGATATCAAATTCAATATAATCTTTTTTTTTTACTTTTTGATCTGTTCAAATTCACAAATCTGCATTGCGATTCTACAAATATTCATAGTGTGAATCTGTATAGTGAATCTAGACATATTAATGTATAGATTCACAGTGTGAATGTGCACAGATTCACAGTGTTATCTGAGCAGATTAAAAAAGTTTTTTTAAAAAAGTTATATCGAATTTGATATCAATGGAAAGAGGATAAAAAGTTACGAATTTTTCTATATTTTTAATTTTTCTAAAAAGTTGTGAATGTGTACTGATTCACAGTTATAACCCCTACCGTATATCGACACAAAGTGGTTCTTTGTGAAGCTTAGGTCATTTGGGTTCCATATTGCTTGTAGCACGCTGATATTTTTAGCAATGGCCTTCCTTTCCAAGTATTTTCTGATTTTTTTGTCTAGTGATCATATGTTCAGTCTTTGGCATATTTCAAACAATAGGGAAATATTAGAATACTTTGTTATTATTTTATTGTATATATTGGTTGATGGATATTTTTTAATACCCTGGCCCCATTTTTTTCTTCTCATACTATATTAATTCTTTAATTAAGGGAAAACAAATTAAAATAATTTATTGAACTAAATGAATGTCATGAAGCATCAAGAGCACATTACACTCAATCTTTTTAGGGAAATTTCCTGAAAAATCCCAAAGTTTTGGCCAATTTATGATCTAGTCCTAAATTAAGTTTCATTAATGAACAAGAACAGGAAACCGGCTGTTGTAATCACATTAACCCTTTTCACCTTTTGCAATAGGTTACATACTGAAGTGACATACCACATGAACAGTTTGGCTAAGGTGACAGTTGATGTGGCATGCCTTTTCTTTATAACGTAAAAAAAACTTATTTTTTAGAGAAAAATGGGAGGACTCAAACCGTGACCTTTCACTTCCAAACCATACACCTTACCATGTGAGCTAGAAGCATTTATTGCTATCACTTCTTCAAATGTATTCATAAAGTCTTTATAATTTACCCTTACACTAGTTATATTGCGAATCTGTACGTATTATCCCAATGATCTCTATTAGCTTACACTTAGCTTACACTGTAAATAGCAATGTAAAGAAATGATCTGAAAATGTGACATGTACAAGCTGATTTCCATGGTCGTTGAGTTTAATTTCACGAGTGTTCTGAAATAGATTTAAGAAACCAATCCTTAGACTTCGTATTTGATTCTTCTTTCTGTTCTTTTGGTACAAAATAGGAAAACGTAATGATTCGAATCAGTAAGATGCACTGACTGATACCATATGATATCCTGAGAACTTGAAGAATCGTCTCCAAATTTAGATCTTATTTGGGAACGGATTGGGAGAATCCATATTCAGGGGCTATAGGCTTCAGGATCACCCAATACTTTCTCCTCCATTAGTTAATGTCTCGTAATTCAGACAGTCCAGTTCAAACCCAAAATGACAATCGTTGTTTTCATCAGTTCTTTAGGGAGAGAATACCATGGAACCAGTAAAATGGAAGGGATGAAGCATTTCACAGGAAGAAGACGAGTCTTTGTTCAAACTGAATCCGGTTGTGTCTTAAGAATTGTGCTAGATCGAAGTGATAATGCTCATACAGTCAAAAGAAGGTTACAAATAGCTTTAAGTCTCCCAATCGAAGAAAGCTTTCTAAATTTTGGAGACATGGTTTTAAACAAAGACCTCAGTGCCATTCGTGACCATTCTCCTATTCTCTTAACAAGAAACATCTTACACAGAAGCTCTTCAACTCCATGTTTCTTCCCAACTGGTAGAGACATCCGCCAAAAAGACTAAAGTGCCCCCGTTGAAATCCTAGGGCATTCTCGTAATTTTGACCAAACAAAACCACTCGTTGACGAGGTTGTGAACGCGATAATCTCCGGGATTGACCAGATCCTGTCAACTATGGTCTTGGAGGTGCTTATTATTTCAAAAACTGTCAAGGTGAAAGTGTCGCTATTGTAAAACCAATAGATGAAGAGCCATTCGCAACTAATAATCCAAAAGGGTTTAATGGGAAAACCCTTGGTCAACTAGGATTAAAACGGTCAGTTTGTGTTGGTGAAACCGGTTTCAAAGAAGTAGCAGCTTATCTTCTTGATTATGGAAGGAGATGAGAGAATCGAAGTAAGAAGAAAGATATGGGGAAGAAGAAGGGTTAGAGAGAGAAAGATGCGAATTTTCAGATGGTAATTAATGGTAACTTATAAACACATTATAAATACATTTGAAGAAGTAATACGGTAAGGTGTATTGTTTGGGAGTGGAATGTCACGGGTTCGAGTTCCCTCTCATTTGGCCCAAAACTTTGGTACTTTTCTGAAGATTGCCCATTTTTTTAATATAAAAACTAATATCAATGCTTTTTCTATGTATATTTAAACAGTGGCTTGTGGATCATCCAAAATTTCTCAACAATCCATTGTATGTTGCTTCAAGTTCCTATGGTGGTATATCGGTGCCAATAATTGTTCACGAAATATATAAAGGTATACAAACACACACACATATATATATATATATATATATATATATATATATATATATATATATATATATATATATATATATATATATATATATAATGTAAACTAATATTTTCTCGCGAACAACTTTTAAAATGCGAACTATTTTTCCCATAATTTTTTTGTCTAAAAAACATGTTTTACTACTTTAAGTCCAACATATTTAAGCATTTTGGTAAACAAATTACAGAAAACGTGTTTATATGAAAAGTACGTATGTGCATAAATGGCAAAATGGCCCATATTCGTAAAAAGTGCGCATATCCACTATTTGTATGTGTACGTTTCACTTATGATTTACTAGTTTATAACCCTTGAAAAACACATTTATAAAATTAATTAAATTTTCATATTAAAAAATAAAAATTATTAAACAATTATTCTAAATAAATTATTATTTAAGGTACATTTTTTTAGTTATATAAAATTATAATCGTTGATTTAAATAAATACGTGAAAGTATATCACATTATAATCTGTATTAATTTTTTTTAATCAAATGTTATTAATGTAATATAATTAGAGTGAAAAAAATTAAAATTTAAAATGGAGAATCAATTATTAATTTAATGTAATTAGAGTGAGAAATTTAAAATTTGAATTTGAAATTAATAATTAATAGGTTGACAAGTGGCATGATAGGTGACATATAATATTAGTGAGGAGTTATTATAGTATGACACTTGTCAATAGGAGAATAAACCTATTCATTTATTAGAATAGAGAGAAGTGAGATTTGTACGTCATTTAAAAAAAATCATACGAAAGAGTTCCAATTTTAAAAGTAGTTTATTAAAAATAGTATTCACACAAGATCATGAATATATATATATATATATATATATATATATATATATATATATATATATATATATATATATATTAGTTTATAACCCGTGAGAAACACGGTTATAAAATTAATTAAACTTTTATAGTAAAAACTCAATATTATTAATCAATTATTTCAAATAAATTATTTTAAATAAATTATTAATTAAGAGATATTTTTTTTAGTTATATAAAATTATAATCATTGATTTAAATAAATACATGAAATTATATGACCTTATAATATATATTTATTTTATTTTATTTTTTATTCTAATGTTATTAATTTAATGTAATTAGAGTGTGAAATTTAAAATTTGAAATTTGAAATGAAGAATCAATTATTAATTAATGTAATTAGTGAGAATTTTAAAATTTTAAATTTTAAATAGAGAATTAATAGGTTGACATGTGACATGATATGTGACATATAATATTAATGAGGATTTATTATATTATGACATATGTCAATAGGAGAATAAACTTATTTATTTATTAAAATAGGGATATATATATATATATATATATATATATATATATATATATATATATATATATATATATATATATATATATATATATATTGAAAGAACCTATTGTTCATGATCAATTCTCTCATTATGTGAATGGTATAAATAATACATATAATGGTTTATGAAAGGAAACTATAATCAGACTAGGAATCTAAATACTAGCTGTCATGTGCATATCTTTTATCACATACTTATCATAATAATAGTATATCTAATATATAATTGTCCTCTGCAGTCGCAACGGGAGGTTGACGAATGTTGAGATTGTATCGAAAATCATCAAACAAAACATGTGGTAGTCCTTTAGTAAAAACATCAGCTAGCTTGTAATGTGACAGAACATGCAAAACTCAAACCTCACCTTTAGCGACCTTTTCCCGAACAAAGTGAATATCCATTTCAATATGTAATGTGCGTTGATGCCAAAGGGTTATCAGATAAGTATATGACACTAACATTATCACGATAGACGATAGTTGCCTTAGAAAGGGGACAATGTAACTCGAGGAGGAGATTACGTAACCAACAAGTTTCAGAGACAACATTAGCAATGCTGTGATATTCCGCCTTAGCACTCAATCTAGATAAAGTCGGTTGACGTTTGGAGGTCCAGGAGATGAAGTTGTCACCTAGGAAAACACAGTAGAGGTAGAACGTCTTGTTGTGGGACAGCCTCCCCAATCTGCATCAGTATAGGAAAAGAGTTGGGTAGCGGCAGATTAGTAAGATGTAAAACGTTATGTAAAGTCCCTTGGACATAACAAATGATGCAATTTAGATCATGCGTGTGAGCGGTATTCTGCCTCAACACTCAATCTGGATAGAGTTGGTTGACGTTTGGAGGACTAGGAGATCAAGTTGTCTCCTAGGAAAACACAGTAACCGGAGGTAAAACCTCTTGTTGTGGGACAGCCTCCCCAATCTGCATCAGTATAGGAAAAGAGTTGGGTAGCGGCAGATTTAGTAAGATGTAAACCGTTATGTAAAGTCCCTTGGACATAACTAATGATGCATTTTAGAGCATGCATGTGAGCGGTATATGGTGCATGCATATGAAGACATATTTGTTGTACAACGTATGAAATATCTAGCCGCGTAAAATTAGATATTTTAAGGCACCGACTAAACTCCAATAATAAGTTGGATCGGGAAAGGGATCACCGTTTTCCGCATCAAGTTTTGAGTTAGTGTTAACCGAAGTGGTGGCCGGTTTACAACTCGACATGCCAACACGATCAATGATCTGTTTGGCATATTTAGTTTGACTTAAAAATAGACCTTGAGAATGACGTTGAACGATGATGCCAAGAAAATAACTTAGAAAAACAAGATCCTTCATCGCAAATTCGCGTGCTAGAAGCTCCGTAAGAGTATGTCAAAGATTATGAGAAGAAGTGGTAAGGATAATACCATCGACGTAGAGGAGTAAGTATGTAACATCATTACCTTTTCGATAAATAAATAACGAGTGATCCGACACACTGTGCTTGAAACCGATAGTCCCGATAAAATCGGCAAGCCGTTGGTACCATGCCCGAGGGGATTGCTTAAGACCGTATAGTGAATTTTTAAGGAGACAAACGTGGTCGGGATGATTATTGTCGCGAAATCCCAGTGGTTGATGCATATAAACTGTTTCGGAAAGGTTGCCATGTAAGAATACATTTTTTTACGTCGAGTTGATGTATTGACCATGATATAGAAATGGAAAGACTCAAGACAGTGCGTATAGTAGCTGGTTTAACTACCAGGCTAAAAGTCCCGTGACAGTCAACTCCAACTTGTTGTGAATGACCGTCTCCCACCAGTCGTACTTTATAACGGTCAAAGGAACCACCAAATTTAAATTTATGTTAAAAAATCCACATAGATCGAATAATATGCATATCGGGTGTTTTTGGTTGTAAAACCCAAGTCTTATTCTCAATTAGTGCATTAAACTCATCGGTTATAACTTGTTTCCAATTTGGATCAGATAACGCATCCTTCGGATTGCATGGAAGTGGAAAAATAGTAGCAAGAGAAGAAATGTTGAAGATATATTTAGGTTTAGAGGTACCAGACATGCTTCGTGTATGTATGGTCCGAGATGGTTGTGTCACAAGGGGAGTGGAGGGAGGTTGGGATGAATTCATGCTAGAAGGATTGTTGGAGCCTATAGTGGTAGACATAGGGTTGGATCGATCGGGAAAAGGGGAAGCCGAGGCAGAAGAGCATGGTGTTGTGGTGGGATTTTGTTTAAAAGAGAAAATATCTTCATTAAATAAGACATGACGAGACAGGATGGTCTTGTTGTTTTGGATGTCAAAGCATTTATATCCGCAGTGGTGAGCAGGGTAGCCGAGGAATACACAGGGAGTGGAGTGAGGTTGTAATTTGATGATGGTGGTAGATGGAAACAATTGGTAACACAAACAACCAAAAATATGTAGATGTTTGTAAGAGGGAGCTCGTTTGTATAGTAGATGGGTAGGGGTGTGGTTGTTAAGTGTTTCTGTTGGAATGATATTTGAGAGGTAAGTTGCCATTTCAAGAGCATGGTGCCAAAACGAGGCTTGGACATTGGCGTGGGAGAGAATTGTTCGAATTATATTATTAATTTCTCATATTTTACGCTTGGCTTTCCCGTTTTGATATGAGGTGTGAGGACAAGAGAAACAAAAAACTATTTCATTTGAGGAACAAAAGTTGTGAAAAGATTTGTTATTGTATTCTGTGCCATTATCACATTGAAAAGATTTGTTATTTGCGTAAAAATGAGTTTTAACAAAGCTACTAAAAGAGAGGAAAGTAAGAAAAACTTGAGACTTATTTCCTAAGGGAAAAGTCCATAAGAAATTGGAGTGATCGTCAAGAATGAGAACGTAATAATAGTGTCCCCCGAAACCCAAAACCGGTGACGTCCAAACGTCACTATGAATAATATCAAAAGGTGTAAAAGTAGTAGTCATAGAATTAATAAATGGTAATTTAGTTTGTTTACCAAATACACATGATTGACAAAGAAAAAGAGATTTAGTAAGATTACAAGAGATAGACCTATTTTTTATAAGTAAACTTAAAATAACTGCGGTAGGATGTCCTAAGCGATGATGCCAAATGTTTTGAGAAACTGTGGAAAGAGTTTGAGGTTGTAGTTTTTTGATAACTGAGGATGATAGTGGATATAAATCACTCTAGCTATTGCATCTCATGAGTCAGATCCCCATTTGGTAATCCTTCACAGTAAAACCGAAAGGGTCAAATTTGATAGCTAAATTATTGTCAATAGATTAACGGCGACATAAATAAAATTTTTAATGAGAAAAGGGGTATGGAGAACGTTTTTAGGCAGATTGGAAGGTGAGGGTGAGAAGAATGTGTGTCTGTATCCATATATTGGAATTTTGTGACCATTACCGATAGTTATATTTTTATTTAATGCACGTAAATTTAAATAAGACTTGAGCGTACCTTGGGAACCTGTCATGTGAGATGTAGCATCGTTGTCAAAATACCAATTATCATAAGGTTGTTGTAGTGAAAGAGCATGCATGGCTTAAGCGAGATCGGTGGTGAATATGTTGGGTAAGCTTGCTATGGATGTGGGCCGAGAACACTAGGTTGTTGATGTTGTGATGGTGTATTCCAGGAAGAGGTTGGGTAAGGACATGGATGCATGGCCCAAGGAGGCATGGCCCATGCCCATTGAGAATATTGGGCCCAAGGGGGTAGTCGCTTATTTGGTTGTTGAGAACCCTCTAAAGTACCAGATTGGCTGACACACCCTCTTCGACTACCCCTATTGGGGTTTCTTGCGAGTTGCTCATTTAGAAAAAATATTAAAATAATAACAATGGGTCAATCTTTGGTGAACCAGCTCATTTCCACAACCTTAGCTCATCTTAGATTGGATTGAAAATCCATGGGCACGTGTCCAGTTTGGTTAGAGAAGCCAATTAATTTTTATACCAAAAGCTATTTTTTGTTTATAATTAAACTTTATATTTAATAAAAAATTAAATAAAATATATCAAAATATCTATTTTATTTTTCTCTACAAAATAAGACCAATACTGATATAATTTTATAAATATAAAATTTTAATATAAAATAGGTTGGGTTGGATTGCAAATGAGTGTAAATAATTGGATTGGATTGAGTTGTATAGGTAAGGATAAATAAATTTGTTTTATATAGAAAAATTAGGTTGGGTTGGATTGTTAATGGGGATAGCCTTCCTCCCCCTCTAATTTCCACGACCCCCCCCCCCTCGGTCCACGATAGGAGGTGTTGTCGGAATGGTTGTCAGTAGTAGTGGTGCTATTGACCGACGGTGGTGTAGTTGTGTTAGCGATAGCTGAGGATGACCACAAAGGGTTCAATTTAACATCAGTGTTGGTGGTGGAAAGAAGATCAGTGGATGATTGATGTGCTTTGCGGCTTTCTTCAAGTATCAGTTTGACCTAGCCTTATAAAATGGTGGCAGGGGATTGCTTTGTTGTATTATCGTTGCTACATTATTGTAATTAGAATTCAATCCTGATATGAGTTGTAGAACAAGAAGGTTTTCGGAGACTGGAGATCCGACATTCAACAGTTGATCAACAATGTTTTTAAGTTCTTGGAAGTAAGCTAAAACGTTGGTGAAGTTGTCAAGTTTAAGGTTGGTGAATTGATGTTCCAGGCAGAGATCTCTAGAGTTCTTGTTGTCCTGGAAGATGTTTGCAAGAGTGTCTTAGGCCTCTTGTGCAGTTGCTTCTGGTTGAAGAATAGTGTGAAGCAAATCATAAGAGATAGTGCTATAGATCCACTGTAAAACAATGGCATCGAGACAGGACCATTGCGCTGTGGCGGCGGCGGGATTAGTCGGTGGATGTGTTGCTGCAGTTGGTTTTTCTGGTATGATGTGATCAATGACCTGGTAAGCTCTGCAATGTATTTTAAAACGAGTTTCCCAGGAGGTGTAATGTCCTTTTTCCATCTCTTAGGTAATGAAAATTACATTTTTGATATTGGAAATAGTAAGGGTTGGATGAATTTTCGATTCAATAGCCATGGTAGAAGGATTGAGACGAGAAAAAGAAAAAAAAAGTGGACGATCGAGGAGAAAAGAAACAGATAAGAAATGGATGGTAGAGTAATCAAGAACCAAATTTCTCTGATACCATGAAAGAAACTACTGTTCATGATCAATTCTCTCGTTATGTGAATGGTATAAATAATATAAATAACGGTTTATGAAAGGAAACTATAATCAGACTAGGATTCTAATCAACTAGCTGTCATGTGCATATCTTTTATCATATGCTTATCATGATAATATTACATATACATACATACATATATATATATATACACACACACACAACAAATGTTAGATTATCTTGAAAAATAATCAAAAGACATGTTTTGAAATTAAATTATTATAACAATATTTAAAAAGAATATCAAATTGAAAATTGTACATAATTTTATTCACTCACAACTTGGTGATAGAAATCGTTGAGAATTTTCTATTCAAAATAAATATTTATTTTAAGTCATATTAATCTAAAATTTAGTTTATGAATCTAAATAGGTCATCATAACTAATAAAAACTGCTGAAAGTTGAAACATTTATATGTATTTATTGTCATATGGTTCATGATCATACTAATGTTTATCAAAATTTTAATTTAGTATAAAAAGTTATTTCATAATCCATCAGAATGACCAAGTTATTTTCATATTATTCTATATTTTAACAAAATAATTTTATTTGTATGCAACGTGTGGGCATTTGCTTGGTTCTTAAAGTTCTTTGTATTGAGCTAGTTCTAAAAAAAGAAGTCTGATTTGTAAAATTTTATAATTATTATTTTACTGTGCTTTCAAAATACATAAAAATCGACTAAAGATTTTGTTGACTAAATTATTTATTTCTTCCGAGGGAGATTATTTGGAGATACTTAGGTGTTTAGCTTCTTATTGCACACTTTGTAGGTAATGAAGTTGGAGAAATGCCAAAAATTAATATCAAGGTACAATTTGACCAATCATTTTAATGAGTCTGATTTCTTGTTAACTTGTTTATTTATTGTTTACAGTTATGTCATGAACAAATGTTGAACTTGATTACACCACATTTGATCATCCATATGTAATCCTTTCTCATTTTCATGGATAACTAAAGTTGCTAAATGGTTTCCAACTTAGGGATATTTGCTTGGTAATCCTCTAACAGACATAAATGGTGACTACAATTCAAAAATCCCATATGCTTATCGAATGGCACTCTTATCAGATGCAATCTACAAGGTGAATAAGTTCAATTATGTTATCCGCTCATACATTATATCCTTTTCTTACACCTTCCTAGTTGCTATAATTGCTTGCACAAAATGAAATTCCAATATGTCTAGGACTTAAGTTGCATACTTTTTGTAGTCAACTCAAGAAAATTGCCACGGGGAGTACTTTAATGTAGATCCCAACAGCACTCTATGTATGCATTATCTTCAAGTGGTACATAAGGTACATAAACTAGACTTCACTTTGTATTATCAACTAAAAATGTCATCATGGGAATATGTATTCAATTTAATCCTTTTTTTTCATAGTGTCTCGAGAGAATTAACATTCAACATATTTTGGAACCTCAATGTGACATTGCAAATACCTTAAATTCCAATCTCTATAAGAGGGGTTTAAGATCTTCTGAGAAAAGCTATAAAGATATTTGGACGTTACCTCAAGCTCATATACAACCATGCGAGGTATTACTCTATCTGTCTATTATATGCTTATGTATTATCCCGCCCCCATATTTCCTTTATTTAAGAAAAAATAAGTAATTAAAGATAATATTTATAATTGTTTAAATCCAAACAACATGTGAATATTGTTACCGATATCTTGCAAAACTTTTATTATATTTCCTTAAATGAAAGGTCATAGAGTTTGTGTCCATCATAATATATAGGCAGTTGGTTTAAAAAAAGAAAACAATACTTTTAAGGATATTTCAAACTTATAATTAAAATACATATGGGTCGGGGCATATTCCTTTTTTTGCACGGAAAATATTATATATTGTTGCCCTTAGGAAAAATATATTTCATCTTTGTTTTAAAAAATAATTCAATTTATGTTGAATTATGGAATCTATTATGCATGGGGGTATATGTAATTTTAGATTCAAAGTTGAATAATTGGTACTTCTAAGATCAAACCAAATACCCAAAGTCGTATTTAGGACAACATCGCAAAAACCCATGATATTTAGGCTTTTGTTGTTTGCTAGCGAAACATTCCTATTATAGTGCCTAAAATTATGCATTACACTTATGGAATGACTAACATGAAACTACATACCTAAATCCAGTATCCAAGATTTTATTAAGTTTTCAACATAAAAAATAAGAGCATGATCATCAAAGTTTTTTTCCACATTAATCTCCATCTTGGCTTTGTTTGTGGAGGGTTTTAGGCACTACTTTATGACAACTATTATCCTTGCAATCAGGGCCGGTCCAGACAGTGGGCAACTCGGGCGACCATCCAGGACCCACGTCTCTAGGGGGCCCTAAATTTATGGGGCTATGTAGTGTGTGTGTGTGTGTGTGTGTGTGTGTGTGTGTATATATATATATATATATATATATAAATCGTTAACTAAATGATTTTTTGGGTGTAAAGTTGGTTTAAACTCAAATTAGCTCAAAAGATAAACAATTTGGTTTGTTTGTTATTGCTAATTAAACACATCTATATCAAAGAATAAATAATATATATTTTTAATCTTTATTATATTTGTCTTTGAGAGGCCTTTTTTTTTTCTTTTCGCCCCCGGCCCCATATATGTTTGGACTGGTCCTGCTTGCAATTCGTACATGTGATATATTTCTTGTTCTTCTAATGACCTCTCTTCCTTGATTTTGATATTCCTCTGCTACTACCTTCTATATTGGTCTTTCTTCCTCTTTTTTCATAACTTAGAAGAGTACACGAAGATTCACTAGCACTTTGTATTATTACCAAGAGTTAAATCGAATGCCTTCAAATATTAGCCTAGTTCCGTCACTATACCGTACCAACTATCAAGAAATAATTATCATCTTAGCATTTCCTAGACATTATCCTCAAATCCAATATAAAACAAAATCAACCTTGAGATTCTTAAATTGAACTCATTAACATGATCAGTCACGGAGCTACCCTCCTTAATCTTTAGATTCACCTACTACCAGATCAAGAACACCTTTTTTGTTGCTGAGGATTTTTCATACATATTGGATGACAATCTAATTAGACTGTATGTAGTTTTCTCATTGAAAATATTGTAAGTTATGTTCTTTGCTAATGATAATATTAACTAGATCAAGAGCCTGCCAATATAGTAAATTCCAGTCCTCCTACATCACTTCTAGTTCTTTTCAGCTAAGGGTTTATGTAAAATCTTCCGATAGAGGTAATCAATATGTGTTCACCAATACTCAAACTCATGACCTTCAAATTTGTCGATCTTAACCTCCCCGTCTTGATATGTAGATTTGATACAAATTGTTAGTAGCTTTGATACAAGTTGTTAGGGTTTAGGCACTTCAAGAAACGATAGACAGTTTCCCATAAAGTAATGATACCAAACAAAAACAAAGAAACAATCAATTTATGTGGTTCACACAATCAAAATGATCGACTATGTCCATGATGAACAAGAGAGAGAGAGAGAGAGAGAGAGAGAGAGAGAGCTTTTGTTATTTCTTTTAAATGCCTTTTGAATACTACCTTAAGTTGTATAAATTTAAGGGATATAAATACTAGTTGTTCGACATAAAATTGTTAATAAGTCTAAACCAAAACTCTGACAAAATACTAGTCCGTGACATATTAAAGGTGAATCTGATATATATGAACTAGCCGCTATATGTTCAAATGGTGAATCAATCTTCGCAAATTAACAACCTCAAGATACAAAATAGACCGAACCAACATGAAAATATTAAAAAGCTTGAACTAATCAATTCTAAAGTAGATCTTCGATCGTACACCTAAGCCAGTTGGTCGCCTTTGGGCCTTCCTAATATACTTGATAGCCATAAAGCCTTTATAGTTAGCCTGTTAATGTAAAATGATTATCCTAATCATGTGAACCATGTAAACTTTTTGTCATCTTTATTTTTTGTTCACATATTTAATTAGGTATTTGTTGTTCTAGAACCTAACATTTTAAAATATATGGAAATAACCCATATTACACTTGCAATTGAAATTTGTGTTAGCTAGTGATGGATAAAGACAAATAATTTTTAGTTAACTAATCAAATGGATAATTATCTACAATTTAAATTTCAAAAAAAGTTTTTGGACAATCATTTAAAGTTTGATTATGTTTTTATTTGTTTTTCATGAACGTTGAGAGTATATGATAACGGTATGTTGATATTAAGTTCAGATTAAATATACAATCATTTATATAATCATATTATCTTGTTCTGTATTAGGAGAAATTGATTTTATTTTAGAACAAAGATATATATTGTCATGTCTTATAGGTTGTCATCCGACATTTTTACAAGAATTAATCAATCATTCTTAAAATTTTATGATTCGTATATTTTTATATTTTGTCAATAGTTGGCCCAGGAAAACATCAGACGTTACATTCCTGCATGGGCTAATCGCAATGACGTTCGAAAGGCTCTTCATGTCTCTGAGGTTTGGAGTTCATGTGTAGTTATGTTCATGTTTGTTTTGATTACAATATAGGATATTAATGACCTCATGACCACAGGAACTTGATGATATAGAATGGGTGCAATGTAATGAAAGAATGAAATTTGACTTTCATAAAACGGAAGACATACCTTATAATCACAATGTCCAAAGTAGTGTTGCCTATCATAGACTCCTTACTACCAGAAATTGCCGCGCTCTTGTATATAGGTATTACCCTCTTTTAGTTATGCCTCTTAACTTTTCATTAATAGTTCCTATTAGTATCTTATATTTACACTTATGGTCATGAAACTAGATTGAGTTTTAGTGATCCTATTAATGCATTCTTGTTGTATTAAGAAAATTTAAAAGAAAAAAAACATCCATTTCATTTTGACTTGTTTATGTCATTGTTTGATCAGTGGGGATCATGACTTGCTTGTTCCATATTTGGGGACACTGAAGTGGATTGAATCACTAAATTTGTTAGTCACAGATGATTGGAGACCATGGCTTTTTGACGAGCAAATAGTCGGGTTAGTTGTGTTTTTCATTAGGAGCAACATAATTTGTAATCATGAAATATATGTGAAAATAGTAACATTTCAATGTTGTACTGCTATCTTACCTTTTTTGCAGATACACCATGACATACTCAATCCACGACTACAACTTGACGTTTACTACTATAAAGGTGAGATATCTTCCTCAAATTCTTCTTCTCTTCTCATGAAGATTGTAGTATTTGAGTTTGTAAAGAGGTTAACTATTTTTTTAAACCATTAATTTAGTTTGCTATTTTTATAAGGTAAAAGAAGCATTTTTCTTGTTATCATCATCTTGTATTAAAAGTTAAACTTTTATGGTGTTCAAAGGGAGAAGGTCACACACCTCAAGAGTACAAGCCGAAAGAACACCTAAGCATGATTAGGAAATGGCTTGCTAATGATGTCCTCTAAGAAACATTTACTGTGTTTCATGTTTCTTTCTTATCTTATATGCATCATAGCTTTTATGTTTCTACTATATATAAGTCAATTTCAACTAATAATGTAATGTTTTTATACTTTAAATAATGCATCACAGTCTATATGGTTGACCTTTTGTGTTGACATTAAACCATTCTTCAAAAACTGTTGAAGAAACTTGAAAAATTTGATAATATGGTGTGTGTGTGTATATATATATATATCCGGTAAGAATTTTTTTTCGTAGGAAGGTAAGAAATTTTTATTCGACTTATTTTTTGGGCGAAAAAAATAAATGAATCACCAAATGAAACAATAATAACATGATTCACCAAAAAAAATCCCACAAAAACATTTCGATGATTCATTTTTATGATGATTTTGATGATATTCACTAAAATTGTCATAAAAGTGAATTTTTTTTCTTGATTTACCTAAAAATGAATCATGAAAGTATTTTTTTCAAATTTTTTTCTTGTGAATCATCTTACTTTTGAATCATCTAATGATTCATTTCATTTTTTTTGCTAAGAAAAGATGCATATAAAAAAATTTCTTACCTTCCTACCAAAAATTTTCTTCTTATTTAATCTTGACTCTCTCTCTCTCTCTCTCTATGTATATATATATATATATATACACACACACACACTAGACGAATGCCCGCGCGTTGCGTAGAAACACTTATATAGTTGAAGTCTTTACAAATATATGATTTTTTTTGAATATAACAATAACGTTGTTGTTAAATTTGATATAATAATTTGTATATACTAAATTCATATAATATATTGATTATTTTGAATTATATGATAATATATATATATATATATATATATATATATATATATATATATATATATATATATATATAATATATATATTATAACTTCATAATCTCAATCGTTTGAATGACTTCTACCCACGAGTTACACATGAATAAAATTAAATATAATATATGATTTGATGTTATTTATAATTGTTTTTATTGTTAATTAATTTTTTAAAATTTATTTGCTTAATATTTTAATTTGTATCATTATAACTATTTAAAACATAAAACATTGTTTTTTTATTTTAAAGCTAACAATATAATCATTTATATAGAGCTGTTTTTAACTATTGTTATTGTAAGTTATTTTAAGCTATTTATTTGAAAACTTTTAACGATTATAAAAATATATTTAAGAAATATTTTAGTTAAATTGAAATTACAATTTTGTTTTTGCTTTTATCACTACAATTTATCACTTTTAACTATTTACAAAATATTCTTTAGTTTTTTTAAATGGAACTGAAATTTATATTTGAGTTGACATTGTAATGCGTAAAAACACATATATAGTTGAAATCTTTACAAATATATATTTTTTAAAATATAACACTAACGTTGTTGTTAAATTTGATATAATAATTCGTATATTAAATTAATATAATATATTGACTATTTTGAATTATATGATAATATATAAATTTATTATAATATCATAATCTCAATTGTTTGAATGACTTCTACTCGCAAGTTACATATCAATAAAATTAAATATTATATATGGTTTAATATTATTTATAGTTGTTATTTTTAACAAATTTTTTAAAATATATTTGCTTAATGTTTTAATTTCTATCATTATAATTATTTAAAACATCAAACATTTGATTTTAAATGTAACAATATAATCATTTATATAGAGTTATTTTTAACAATTGTTATTATAAGTTATTTTAAGCTACTTATTTGAAATTTTTTAATGATTATATAAATATATTTTGGAAATATTTTAGTTAAACTGATATTACAATTTAGTTTTTTGTGTTTATCACTATAATTTATCACTTTTAACTATTTACAAAATATTATTTGTTTTTTTTAGTGGAACTGAAATTTATATTTAAGTTGACACTGTAATGTTATATTTAAATTAACAATTGAAGTATTTTGTCCAAATTGTTCAAAAATTGTATGTTTAAACTGATAATGGTTTATATGCAACAACATTTTAAATCTAATAAATTGAGTATAATATGTTAAAATTTAAAGACATAACTTTATAAATAAAAGTAAAGATATTATTTTAAAATTGAAATTTAGTCTATTTATGATTACACTTTAGGTTTGATATTTATTTAACCTTATTAACTAACGAACAATCATTATTAGAAATACACTACAACTTATCACTTTTAACTATTTATAAAATAATTTTTGGGTTGTTTAAGTTAAATAAAACTTATATTTAAGTTGATCCTATAATGTTATGTTTTAATTAATAATTTAAGTATTTTATACAAATTGTTCAAAAATATACCTTTAAAATGATAATAGTTACATCCAACAATATATTAAAACTAATAAATTAAGTATAATATGTTAAAAGTTAAAAAACATAATTTTATAAGTAGAATTAAATATATTATTTTAATATTAAAATTTAGTTTATATATGAATACACTTTAGATTTGATATTTATTTAACCTAACTACCAAATTATAATTATTATTATAAAGAAATTGAAAAGTCATGGGAGTTTCAAATGAATGTGGTGAAATGAAAAAAGAATGGAGGTTTCAAATGCATGAGATTCAAGAAAATATGCTAGCTTTATAAGTATGTATGATATATATATATATATATATATATATATATATATATATATATATATATATATATATATATATATATATATACATACTATCTTATTATACAAACCTTACTATTTCTAAAAATAGATTTAAGACGTCCAAACCTTTCAGCTGAATGTACAAACATTTATCAACAAATTACAAAATACAATGCATTAAGTACAAATGTAAAATTAATATTGAAACATTCAAACCTACATCCTTATCTTACCCAATATAGATGATTTAAATTTTTAAAAAAAATCATATTCTTTGACTAGAATGAGTCAACATGGTACAATCTTTAAAACATAATATACAACAAATTTATGCAATCAGATCTTATCCGTGAATCAGTCAACAAATGTTAAACCAACCTTTTCTCAATTTCAGCTTTTAAATTGGTCAAAATCAAATGAATCGGTTAGATCAAATCTGACTTCTTGAATGAGATGAATTGGGCATTATTGTTTCAAATGAATCTTATCGCCCTTATTATTAAGGTGTTATTGTTTTGACCTGACTCATTCATTATCTCGCTGTTTCCCCATATCTCGGCAAATTATCTTCATTGTTCATATAAAATTGAAGACACATCCAAATCGGTGCCTCTCCATCTGTGATTATCACCTAAACCTCCACCGTCCAACAATAAGAAGTCATTTTTGCGTTTGGTTCATCAGGTCTATTTATCTACCGATTTTGTATTTTTTTTGTTTAGAGCAAACTAATATCTGAAAGAAAGTTAATCGCACCCGTCGCTTGGCGCGGGTAAACGGTTAGTATATATATATATATATATATATATATATATATATATATATATATATATATATATATATATATATATATATATATATATACTATGGCAACACTTACGACATTAGTTAAGAATTTGATTTGCGATCCCTTAACATAATTTTCATATTAGTAAAAGCTCCACAACATGGAATTAAAATGATTTGTACAATATTATGTTAATCTGATGTTTTGTACAGAGAGAATTGCAAATGATATCTCCACATTATTTTTAAGAGTATGTATAAATGGCCGCATAGTTGGTTATTGCAAGAATTGTTGCCTATAAGTCGTAACTTTCAATATATTAGTAGAATAGATAATTTTTTGTTTATCCAAAAAGCTTATCCTGTGATTTTAGGGATCATAAATATACTTGTATATCTGTGTGTTATTATTTATTGAGAATGCAAGGGAATATTTGACGGTATCAAAGCTATAATTTTCAAAAAATAAACCTATCTCTTCTCATCTTTCTTTCTTAACGGTTTTCATCCTCCCTAAAACCCCTTTTATATCTAACTAGATTATGACCTCCGTTAAATACGGAAGAATATAAAAAAATGTTATATTGATAGCCAGCATTGTATTTGGTGGAATTTTAATAAAAAGAAAATCTTAATTAGATTCATTTTTAAAGTTTTTAAACCAAACTTACTACTTAAAAATATTTAATCTTTATATTAGAGCAATTTGTTTTTTTTTCGAATACTAATATTTAACATAAATGATCCACATGATCTTTGTTCTTTGTTTTATCACAACTTGATGTGACTCATTGATTAAAGCATGCTATGCAGTAGTTTTATGAATCGACTTTGTTTCAAGTAACAAACGCCTATTGACGGAACGTATTTTGTCTGTTGGATCTAGTAAGATGTACAGGCATATAATGAATGGAAAAGCTAGATTTTTAGTGACAATCTTCTAATGCGTGACTGAATTATCACAAAACTGATAAGAATAAATGAAATATAAGTTAATTTGATTAAACCCCATATGATACATCCAACATCATAGATAAATCTTCGAATTTTGTGATATATGTCTCGGAATTGACAATTCCTCTATTTAACATTATAGAAGAATTTTCATCTACTTACATGGATAACCACGACAAAACAAAGATCATTATTTATGATGAGTTTGGAAAATTGAAATATAAAGAATCAATTTATTTGTGTGATGAGGTAAAATCGGGATATATGTATATAACTATAAGAGTTTGGGCACCAAACCAAATGAAAGCCATAGAGCTAAAAAAAAAAAAATCATGAATTTGTTTATTACCTGTGCAGATTTGATGGGTTGTTCAGAGCTATAAATCCTCTTATAATGATCCTTCACAAACCTCTAGGAATAATACTCTTGGATCTTCTTGCATGCCATTTCTATTTATCAAAAAGCTTTGTTTCGGTTTTGTCAGTAGGTTGACTGAATTCGGGGAAATGCTAACATCCATTGGGATATGATGGAACGATTTGAGGTCAAAACGGGGATATCTCTAGTTGTGAAACCCGTATACTATACAGATTGATTTAAAAAAGCTAAATATAATGATCTAAACATTAAGTATTTTTTTTTTATTTATAATACTTTGTAAACATTAAAGAGGACAATCATATAAATTTATATAATTGTTAGATTATAAGTTTGATTAAAATACATTATGTGATATATGCACATATATTACATTTTTTATTTTTTTGTGGACGTTAAGGAAAAATAAGTATAGCAAAACATACAAATGACTATTTATTCTTATGTATTAATGGATGTTAAATACATGTCATATTTCAAAATAAAAAACACTTAATGCATCGTAAATGTATCATTTACCATTAAAACATGTCATTTATGTAAGTTGACATTTTGGGTTAAGAATATAAGTATGTTGACACATTTGGTTAGAAGTATAAGTGAGTTGTTATTTGGGTTAAACTTTTAGCATAACATCAAAACATAAAATAAAGCTTAGAATTATACTATCAATTTTTAATATAGAACATAGATAGTTTTTAATATTGAACATAGATGGTTTTTATTCCATTCAAAACTTTGTTTTACGATTATAATTATACTTTTGTTAGACGGAGCGGGGCAAAAGGTCAAGAATTGATAATTTTAAATTAAATTAAACACATGAAATTTTGGGAATTGGTAACATAATATTATTAGCAAATACGAGATATATTTATAAACATTGAGTTTACCGTTTTGAATAAGTTTAAATCGGTAAAAATCTTTTCTTTTTTATACGTAAAAAACTTACGTCCTTTTGAAAGAGTTGTGTTAATAATGTAAGTAAAAAGTGAAATTAACAACTAATATGACATCATTTTTATAACTTTTTTTTTAATGGAAATTAATGGCTAATATGACATCATTTTTATAACTTTTTATTATTATGATAAGTATTATGTTGTTTTATGTACACTTCTTAGTTAATAAGAAATAAGACTAATGATTATTATTATTAAACAAAACCTAAAAATAACCAAAATCATAGATGATATTACATATAAGAAAAATGATTATAGTTTGAAAATGGAATATTTGTTGTTGCTCAATACACGAGACAATACTACCTCATAAAACCAAAGCATGGTACTAATATAGTGGGGAACCCAAGTTTTCAAAGTTTAAAAGGATGCTTCTTCAAAGAAACACCCATGATACACTCCATAGCTGTTTACACTTTATAATAGACAACTTAATAAAAACTTATTTCCACCACCTATATCAATCTTTATTCCAAAAAAAAAATTGACCAGAAAAGAATAGGCCTGATGAGTTTTCTATAAAACATATAATTTTTTAGTAGGACTTTAAAGTATTATAAAATAGTTCAAAAATTAAAAACATTTATATAGTTACCAGTTTTAGGTTCTTTAAATGTTTTATCTTTCCAACATGTATGGTAAAAAAAGAATATATTTTATATTATTAAAAACTCAAAATATTGATCCATTAATTTTATGAAGGTTACAACAAATACACTAATTGCATCTTTCATTATTTGGTTTGATAAATAAACCAATGTAAGTGTGTCATTATTTTTATTAGCATAAATGCTAAACATAGCTACATACTTTCAAATATTTGTCTTATCAAAACATTACATACAAAGAGAGAAACATACACAAAACCATACACATTACTTTTACAAGCTATCTAATATGTATTATCGTTTCCCCCAATCATTGTAACACCCCATACTTCATACCATTTCAAAATAATAATCTTTTGTATTTTATTTTCAAAACATTTGATTTTGCTGAAATTTGGTTCCAATTAAAACTTTTTACAAAATATTGGGAACACATTATATGGGGGATACCAATGCACTCAGCCATAAGAAAGCATAAACATACAACTAACTATTACAATACATGAAAAAAGTATAAATTATGATTTCAAAATTCAACGTCTATATGAGAAGTCTCATATATCCCAAAACCCATTGCTAGTGAACTAAGTCACTATATCCCATCTTCGATATATGGGATACATGTTATTTAAAAAAACGTAAGACATAAAGTCTTGTAAGCTATATAGGGGTTGACACAAAAGTCTTATATTTTGATAACCTTTCTTTTCCAAATCACTTTCAAATTCCAAACATATATTTTCCTAATTATAAGTATATACATACTTTTCTTTCTAAAAGGTAGGTTAAAATACATTTATTTCCAAAATGCAAGTTGTAACATCCATAAAATTTCAATAAAATTTAAACTTTCCAAAACAATCCTTTTTCTACAGAAGTGTTTACAAAACCATTGTTTCCAAAACATTTATTTAAAACCGGAATCATTTACGCATAGTTTTCAAAACATTGACATTACCAGAGTTTCCCGGAAACCATAAGTCCAAAACGTGAGTATGTGTACGGTCACGCCTTTGCCTTGCCAAAACATCTGAAGCACCTGAAACAATAAACTGAAACCGTAAGCACAAAGCTTAGTGAGTTCCCCTAAAGTACCAACACACAAACAGTAACACACATACAAATAACAACATGCATATAGAGTCTACAGTATGACAGGACCGCCCTCACCGAGCCTTTAGTCTATCTGGCCCATTCTAAGAACCTTCAGCATGTCTGGTTCGCCCTACCGGGCCTTTAGCCTGTCTGGACTGTTCTCCGGATATAGAGTCTTCAGTATGACTGGACCGCCCTCACCAGGCTTTCAGTCTATCTGGCCCACTCTCAGAACCTTCTACATGTTTGGTCCGCCCTTACCGGGCCTTCAGCATGTCTGGACCGTTCTCCGGGCCTTCGGCCTGATTGGTACGCCCTGTTGGTGTCACACCTCCGAACCAGGACGACAAAAGGGGGGGGGGGATGACGTCAGTATATAGTATCACAACCATTGAATATGAATGAAACATAGCAACCAAACAACATACATTAAAAGATATCAACATACATTGTTTACATATTGTATTTGTTCAAGAAATTACACAAAAGTGACATAAATTATGAAATTCCAAAATGTAGCAAAATCCGGTTCTTAGGTACCTGCTTACTGGTTCCATGAGAATACAAGTCATTTTGAAAATCGTCAACATTGAATGTTGGTGAGTTCATAAGCATATTTATATGAAAAGATTTGTAAAATCCTTGTTTGTAATAGTTTGTATGACTCCAGAAAATCCGATATTTTCTATGAAAAGGGTTTGTAAGTCTCGTTCCAAAACTGTGAATATATGCATGCATATCATTTTTTTTCTTTTATTTGTAACTGTAAAGAGTATGTTCCCAGAAATCCAATATTTTCTTATAAGTAAACGGTAGTCTTAACCCTAAGACCAGAAGTGTAAGTGACTGTGTACTGAAAAATGATATGCAACTTTATATTTTTAATAAAACCGGTGAAGTGTAAGCTTCCTGTAAACCAAATTAGTATTGGTAATCCCTAAGTGAGTTCTTATAACCATGCTTGATATGACTGCTATGCCTGAACGATGTTCTTCAGACGTCGGAATTTGTAGACTTTTGTCACCCTAGACTTGCCAGTGTAACTGTAGTGAACAGTTGAGGTGTGAGGTTGTCAATCTCGTATAGATCTATACACAATGATCTCGCTCTCCCTCCAGGAGACTATGGTTATAAAGGATTTAAAGTGTACGCTAGGTAGGTATGGTGAAGATGGTGTCTCGCTAGAGCCTTAACGGATTTACACGAACTTTAACTTCCATTATTGAATAATGAAAATGATATTATTTGTGTAAATTTACGAGTGAAGTTTTATGACACGCGCTTTTAAGCTTTTATGGCATACAACTTACTACTCATGCTTTAAAAACTTTATAATATGTAGATTATGACACACATAATTTTCTGTCATAAATTCTGTTTTATATACTATTTTGGACTAAATTCTTTATAGACAAAACTTCAAAAATGGTCCCTATGGTTTTCGAATATCAAGTTTAGTCCCTAAGTTCAAAAAACCTCACAGATGGTCCTTGTGGTTTCAAAACTTTTAACATTTGGTCCTTTTCGCTAACTCCGTTAGCTTTTGGCCGTTAAGTGAAGGGCAATTCTGTCATTTCACTTCCACAGGGACCATTTATGAAGTTTTACCTTATTTTTTTAAAAAAAGAAAAAAAATTTATAATTATTTAATATTAGAGGGTCCCACCCTTCTCTCTCTCTCGGTAAAAAAGAAAGCCAAACCCACATCTCCCTTCTCCGTTCTCTCTGTTTTCAGTTGGGTAAACAAATTCCTTCTTTAAATACAAGAGCAACAACAATTTAGATGGTGTTTTTGTGTTTGTAGTTGTTCTCGTCTTCTACTGATCAACTTGAGAACGAAATCATTGATCAATTTAATGTTCTTCTTAAGAGAAGCTTCACACCCGATATTAAGAAAATGCTTAAGTTTCCACAAGGGATCTATATAACGCCAGTAAGTCAAAGCATTTGAATCATCAAACGCATCGATAAATGAGTTCCCTTCTTCATTAGATCCTTCTAGGCAATCCAGATCCACTGCGAACCCAACTTTGAAAATTGAATCCAAGCCACTTCTCATCAGCAAATTCTACAAAAAAAAGTTCAACATTTCAAGAAACCAACTTCATTTTCTAAAGTTATATTCAAGAATCGGATTTTCTAGTTGACTTACGTGTATATCAAAGACTTCATTGACCACGACAAACTGAGAAACAATCCTGACTAGTTTTGCTGCGTTGGTTCTGAAAACGGCACAACTGAAGTCTCTTAAAACCCTAGTCGAGAACTCGAAACTTGCAAGCTTCCTCTGCTGCTTCCACTTAACGCCATCAATAGCGAAGATCCCGTGGCCAAAGAAGTCTGTAATTATGTCCTTATTATACTGTCCTTTCGTGTAGTTGTCGAAATTGGTTTTAAGTATGTATTCGATGTTTCTAACGTCGGTTGTGTATAACTCGCTTTGATCAGGGGCAAGAAGCCAGAAAGTATGGTGTTTCCGGGCAATATCAGCTAGGTAGTCATGGAGGCTGTTGAAGTAGAAGAGTTGACCAAATAGAGTTCCGACAACCGGAGAGTATTTTGGGTTTCTGATTGACTTTCCAATGAAGATTTTGAGGATAAGGTAAAACTTCATAAATGGTCCCTGTGGAAGTGAAATGACAGAATTTCCCTTCACTTAACGGCCAAAAGATAACGGAGTTAGCGAAAAGGACCAAATGTTAAAAGTTTTGAACCCATAAGGACCATCTGTGAGGTTTTTTGAACTTAGGGACTAAACTTGATATTTTCGAAAACCATAGGGACCATTTTTGAAGTTTTGTCTTCTTTATATTATTTTTTATAAATAATCGCTAGTGAACATGTATAATTGTAACATATGATGTGAAAATAGCCCAATATCTTTGTAAGCCCCTAATTTGCCTGTGTATCAATTAAATTCGTTTGATGGTGCGGAATCCTAATCAAACGGATGATGTCATATCAAATAGAAGAGAAGGAGAAGAAGAATAATATGAATCTCTATACGAATTGATTAGAATTAATGTTCTAGATACAAAAGATTCACACACAAAATGCTCTCTAATTTCTCTCTTTTCTCTGGCCGTAAACTCTCTTCGTGTTCATCAATCTATACTCCTCACCCTAACACCTATATATATACATGGAGAAAATGGGCCGTATAACATGGGCTGTAAATGGGTTTACGGCCGTAAACACAGTCGTAAACACAGTCGTAAACACCTTACGACCGTAAACACCAAGTTGTTTACGTTCCAAGACACAAAAATACATTTTTCAAGAAAAGTAAAGTATAAACCATATTTTTGACCCAACAATCTCCCCCTTGGTTTATAATTTTCTTTTATTAATTGACCAAACAAGCTCCCCCTAAAAAGAAGTAGAAGGATCCCCCTCAGGTGTAGCAGAAGACTCCCCCTCAGATGAAACCGAAGACTTCCCTGTAAATGAAGAACGAGATTCAGAAGGAGATCTGTAAACAACTTCTTCGTCTTCGTCTGCAGAACACTTCTTCAAACCAGAAACTGATCTAGATGAGCCACTTAAGGACACATCTATTGATTTGAACAAGGATGTGTAGTCAAAAAGCCAATCCAGACCTACTCTCACATCCGTTTCGTTTTCTTCCAACCAACGCACGTCATATGACTCCACAATTTGTTTTGTCTTCTTGTTGTAGACTCTATAGGTCGTGCGAGCATCATACCCTACGAAATAACAATCATCGGCTTTGGCATTGAACTTCGGGTTGGCATCTAAGTGAAGGAAGGTGCAAGGACAACCAAATACACGGAAGTGACTGACTGATGGCTTGTGACCATAAAGAATTTTGTACGGAGTTTTCATCTGAGCTTTGTTGATTAACACTCGATTCTGAACGTAACAAGCAGTGCTAATCGCCTCGGTCCAAAAGAAAACTGGCAGTTTTGAATCACAAAGCATCGTTCTTGCAGCGTCTTTTAACGTTCAGTTCCTTCTCTCTGCAACTCCATTTTGTTGGGGTGTATGAGTAGAACTAAATTGATGTAGTATACCCTTTTCTGTGCAAAAATGATCGAGAACATAATTCTTAAACTCCATTCCGTTGTCAGTACGAAGCGCCTTCACCCGTCTGTTAGTTTCGTTTTCAACCAATACAATGAACTTCTTGATCAAGTCAACAACTCCAACTTTGTTGGGTAGAAAGAAAACCCACATAAACCGAGAGAAGTCATCAATCACAACCAGACAATAAGAATTTCTGTTGATGCTGAGGACGTTTACTGGACCAAACAAATCCATATGTGGCAATTGAAGCACCTGGCTAATTGAGTTGACTTGTTTTGGTAGATGCAACTTTCTATGATGCTTTCCTTGAGCACATGACACACATTTTTCAAACTTAATGAAGTCCTTGACAGGAAATCCACGGACCATCTCATTCTTTGCAAGACGATTCAAGTTCTTTGCGTTAGCATGACCTAATCTTATGTGCCACAACATTGTAGATTGTTCGGAGATCTTTGAGAAAAGACACGTAACTTTTTCGGGAAGATTGCTATTCATGTCAATGATATAGGCATTCCCATCCATTTTAGATTTTACAAGGATCCAATCGTCTGGGATGAAAAAACCTGGCTTGAGAATCATGCATTCCTTGTCAGCAAAATGCGTAGAATAGCCCTTGTCACAAATCTGAGAGACACTTAACAGACTATGTTTCAACTCGGAAGAAAAATTAACATTTTTGAAACTTAAAACTCCATTTGAGACAGTTTCTCTTTGAGTGATTTTACCGCCTTCTCCACCTGCAAAAGAGATATATCCCCCATTAAATGATTGAATGTTGCGCAGTTGGGCGATATCTCCTGTCATATGCCGGGAACAGCTGCTGTCGACGAACCAGGGTCTGACGACATTTCCCCACAACTGTCCCTACAAAATGTGCGGGTTTAATTAGATTTGGGTACCCAGGTCATGACCTTCCTGGGTGATCCCGATGCCTTTTCAGATTTATCGCATTTAGATTTTTCCGAGGACACAAATGATGTATTAGGAGCAGGTTTGGGCAAGCATTTATAATTAGGTTTTCTAAACATCCTGGTTGATTTAGAAATAGAATGTTTATCAGTCTGCTTAAAGCCTGTGTGACTTCTACCAGAGTTGGTTGAAGAGCCACTGTGGCTTTGTGACGAGTTTGACCTTGGCTTGGCTGTGCTCGGTTTTGGCAAACTGCCTGGGACTTGGTGATGAAAAACCTTTTTATGTCTTTGAAATACAACCCATTTTCTATTCCATTCATCTGCCCAATCATCATTTCGAGAACGACTTCTAGAGGACTTTGTATTTAAAGACCTTCCTCTGAACTCGTTCTCTCCTCTTGGGAGTTTGAAATGTACAAACATACGATTTTGGCAGTTTCTTGCTAAATGACCACCAACACCACAATTAAAACAAATATGTTTGTTACTATTATAACTTGTGCTACATTGATCAGATTTGTTTTCCATACTATCACCCCTGCTTCTCTCACAAGAACATGAACATGAATTTGGTTGTGAGGTAGGCGAGGGTACATTAGATGGAAAAGATTGTGATGTTGATGGTTTATCAAAAGTATTATCACACACATTCAAATTATCAACCAGATTGTTCAAACCAAACTTTTTCAAAACATTCAAACTAGTATCAGAAGTCATAAAAACACCATCACAAAAAACATTGTCTTTAGAAATATCAGAAAACGTATTGTCTTTATTAAAAACTAAAGCTTCAGGTTTAGACTAGATTTTATTTTCAGAAACACATCCTCCAACTTCGTGCTTTGACTGATTCAAGGATTGATCTATAGGAGAAGTAGAAATGTTAGTACTTTCAACATTAATAAATCCTCCCGAAATAAAACCGGAGGGCTTGCCATAAACTATAAATGATTCATTGGAAATCTCTTCTTTGGACAAAGGCTTGGGCACATATGAATGATTGAAGGGAGGGGGTACATGGTTATACCCTAGACCTTTTGATTGATTCCTTTTAAACTGCATGCTTTGGTCTATCATATTTGCAACCACCTCACTTGAGAAGTCATATTTTCTAACATCAAGTTTGGCGGTTTCAAACTTTCCTTTCAAAGATTCAACTTCAGCCACTAGCTCAGCGTTTTGTTTGACTACATAATCATAGTTTTCACATTTATTACTGTAGTCTTCCTGGAGTCTCCTAAAGTCCTTAATTTTCGATTCCAATTGATCTTTGAGTGGTTTTTGTCCCATTCTAAGTTGGTACCCTTCATATCTAAGGTCTTCTACGTCTCTTATCAAAATTTCATTAAGTTCACGAAGAATCCTAAGATTTTCTACTTCACTGCCTAATGTCTCAATTTTGTCATGTAAAGTTTTAACATAGTCAATACAGGCTTGAGAGCATGATGGAAGACTTACCTTGGCTAAATTAGGTTTTTGAGAAGAGGATACCATCAATGCAAACTGCAGCTCTTTCATCTCACTTTCGGCTGCCACAATCTCTTCTGGTGCATCATCACAAACTTGTGCCAGGTGGGCAGCTTCATGTCCAGACAGGTTCAACGCTTGCATCTAATCCTCCTAATCAAATGACTGAGCGACCATAGCTTTCTCGTTGTTTATTTGACTGCCACTATGATTGTTGCCAACTGTAACCACTGTCCTATCATTATTGAGTCTCTTGTTTGGCTGCGGACAATCACGAGCAAAATGCCCTGGCTCGTGGCAGTTGAAGCATTGTAGCTTGCCTTTGCTAAACCCAACCTTCTTGTCAGCATTCATTCCCCAATTATTCTTCCCAGTTTTCTTGGCAAATTGCTTCGCCCTAAAGACTGCCATGGCAATTTTCCAAGTGATGTCCATCTCCTCAACATCTTCAGGGTGAATTTGATCAAGATCAGAAAATGATAGTTGAGGTGGAAGATCCCGGGATACAAGCGCATTGTAGCAATTGACTAATCCCGAAGCGAGAGCAAAATTCTCATCACCCTCCTTTCCTCTTGAAGAGGAGGCTCCAGTTGAGGATGAAGCAGCTTGAGCGTCCACAAATGATGGATTCTATGAGAGGGGAATGGCCGTGGCAGAGGAAGACGATGGAGTTTGAGTCTGAGCTTGCGAGGGAGGTAGATTAAAAGATGAACCTACAATGGGATGAGAGACAGAAAAGGATGAAAGAGCATTGTTAGAGGAAATGCCAAGATTTGCAGCTGAATACGAGTTCACATGGTTCATTTCCCGCTGCTTGTCATCAATATCACATGACTTGATGACATCCATCACTTCAGCGAGAGAGAGAGGCGGTTGAGATCTTTAGTTTTCTTAATGACAACTACATTCATGTCCCAAGATTTTGGGAGAGCATTCAGTAGCTTCTTGTTCACTTCAAACTTTGTGTAGAAGATTCCAGCCACAGTCATTTCTGTATTGAGAGTTGTGAACCGCTGCAGCTGTGATTCAAGTGTCTCTCCAGGGATATAATTAAACATATTAAAACGTTGTCGCAACATATCCTGGCGACTCTCTCGCATATCTTCATTTCCTTCATACACCTCGATCAGGGCTTCCCACAAAGCTTTAGCCATGGTATACTCTTTGAACCCTTGAGCAATGTCTG